CAACATGTATAAATGCATGACAAATGCCTCCTTTTATAGGACAAATTGTAGAACTATTGATTTGATGACTAATTGTTGAGTAAGTAACTACATCTTGACTTGATGACAATTCTTATCTTCTTGTCTTAACAAAATGCCAATGATAACATCAACATTTGAATAGATTGTCCGAATAAAAGTTTTAGAAAATTGTCTCAACTTTCCAACAAAAAACAAAAATATTTGGTGCATTTGGACTTTTAGAACACGAGAGATGGACTGAATACTGAACAGTGTAAAGGTTGCAGGACAGATTTCAACTTCTTTATTGTTGCTAAGATTTGGACATCCATAAATGTTTTAGGCCTATATCTTAGCTTTCTAGCCATATAAACCAAATTAAAATATAAAATATACAGCTTTAGATATCACCTAATGACTGAACAGTGTTCTAATTTGGACTGAATCAACATCTTTTTTCTAAGCTTAACCCTCTCTTTGTCTTCTCAATTTCAGTAGTTAAACTCATTAATCAATTATTTGATTTATATGAAAGACCTATATTTAAGATGAACATTTACCATAAATTAAAGGTATCTTATATTATTAGACTTGTTATTATAAAACATGCTTTAGTTAAGGAGTTATTGATACTTCAAGTGCAAAATGATGATATAAAACCTTGATAAAAATGCACTTTTAAGTATTAATCATAAGCCAATCATAAAAATCAAGGGAATCAGAGAGACAAAAAGAAAGAGAAAGATGATGCATAAATAATTCCAACAACATGACAGAAGACATCAATTAGAGCACAATGGAAGACTCATGTCTTGCCTAAAGAAGATGGACTTTCTTTATGAATCACACATAAAGGACTTTTCTTTTCTTTTTTCAATTTAGCCCCTTGATTTTCAAAATATCTTTGATTCAACCCTAGATTTTTTTTTCATATTTTTTATTTCCTCCTTTTCTTTAGTTTATTCCTTTGATTTAGTTCTAGAATTTTTAAATTTATTTTTTCCAAGTTTTTTTTATTCTTCAGCATTGGGTTGGTTGAGAATTGAACTTTATAATTTATTTTTTTTCATTATGCCTTTCTATAAGGTTACCGCAGTGTCAAAAAAATGTTCTAACATTGGATCAATAATTAATTTATGATCATTTTTTTTAATATTTAGTTAAATAAAAAATGATTTAGGAAAAAACCAATTTACTAAGCTCTGTGGAGCTAATGACCTGGTTTGACAAGGTAACCTGGATTGCCCAATTCATGGTTTTAGCAGGGTACTTTTTTTTTTGTTTTTAATTGAACTCAATTTTATAATCGTCAATTTTTTATCATATAGTTAAAAAAATAGTTTCAGAAAAAAACTATATTATTAAACTGTATAAAGTCCATAGATCTGCTCATGTGTTTGGTGGGTTTAACTTTTCTTTATTTTTTCTTAATTTTATTCTTTAATATTGAGTTGATTAGAAATTGAATTTCATAAATTACTTCATTTCACTTTCTATAAAGGTGATTGCAGTTTTTTTTTCAAAATATCTCGATATTAAATTGGTATTTAATGTTATGATAATCTATTTTTGTTATCATATAGTTAAAACAAATAAGTTACTAGTTCTAGTTGAGTCCATAGCCCAGCTTAAGAGTTTGATGTGTTAACCAAGTTACTTAATTCATAACTTTGTGACAAGGCTTACCTATTAAACCCAAAATGTTTTTTAATAGATTTTTATCCTTTAATTTTTTTAATTGATATTTTTATTTTATCCTTCAATATTAGATTGATTGAGAAATAGATTTCATGATTTGTTTTTGTCTACTTTCTATGGGGTTATCATAATATCAAATAAACATGTATTTTTAATTTGATAGTCAATTTTGCAAGCATATATTTTTTTATCATATAATTAAATAAAAAAATTTACAAAAAAAATAAAGTTATTAAATCTGATGAAATCTAGAACCAAGTTTGCAAGGGTGATTGAGATCGATTTAATTTAGTGTCATCTTTATATATATATATATATATATTAAAATTAACAATTTTTAAGTTTTTTGTTTTAAAAAAACTAAGTTATGTTTTTATTGGTTATCTAGATTGTCTTTAAACTTGTAAAATCAACCATCTCATTTCAAGTTAATTTTCATGTAATTTAATTAAAAATTTAAATTACATAAGAAATCATGTCAGGAAATATCAAAATTTATCTATCTAACAAAATAAGTGATACTGCTATTTTTTTTTTTCATGTTCTTAATAGTGTTTTTATATTTAGAAAAATTGATCTTGCGAAACGTATAAAAAGACCTGGCGGCTAAAATACATACAAGACAGGTGCAGGTGGGTCGTTGTCCCAGAACTAAGCACTCAGCCCATACCCAAATAGGTAAAAAAATGGAAATAAAAGCCCGTTTAATTTTCCAAAGAAATTAACGTATAAGATTACGCCATATGACATGATTTTAAACTGCTGATGTGCTAACTTTCATCACCAATCCAATAAGAAAATTTGTTCTTATCTGACAAGTCATAATGGGAAGCAACAAATTTCCATGCTATAAAAATGGCTGAGTGGTCAGGGAGAGTGCTTCCTAGGGGTGTTTATATTATTATTTTATTCATCATTTTTACATTCAAATAACACCAAGCAATACCTTCACTTCGTCATTATGATATGATTCAATTACGGAATATTATTTTAGTTTGGATTATATCAATATTTTTTTTTTAAATTTAACTTTTTTTTATTTTTTTAATTTTATTAGTTAAACTCATTAATCAATCATTTGATTTATATGATAGATCTACATTTAAAATAAACATTCACCATAAATTAAAAGTATCTTATAGTATCAGATTTGTTATTATAAAACATGTTTTATTTAAGGAGTTATTGATACTTCAAGTGTAAAATAATGATATAAAACCTTGATAAAAATAAAATTTTAAATATTAATTATAAGTTAATCATAAAAACTGAGGTAAAGAGAGAGAAAGAAAGAGAAAGATGATGCATAAATAATTCCAACAACATTAAATAAGACATTAATTAGAGCATAATGAAAAACTCACGTATTGCCCAAAAAAGATAGACTTTCCTTGTGAATCACATACAAGGGGCTTTTCTATCCTTCTTTTAATTTAGCCTCTTGATTTTCAAAATATCTTTGATTCAGTCTTAGATTTTGTTTTTCACGTTTGTAATTTTCCCTTTTCTTTTAGTTTAGTCTTTTGATTCAATCCTAGATTTTTTCCAATTTATTTATCCAGGTTATTTTATTTTATTTTTCAATATTGAGTTGGTTAAGAATTGAACTTTATAATTTATTTATTTTTATTTTTCCTTTCTATAAAGTTATTGCAATGTCAAACAATATATTCTAACATTGAATCAATAATTAATTTGTGATCATCTATTTTTTTTAATATTTAGTTAAATAAAAAATAATTTAGAAAAAAACCAAGTTATTAAACTTTATGGAGCCAATGATCTAATTTACAGACTTGACAAGGTAACTTGAGTTGCTCGATTCATGGTTTTGGTAAGGTACTTTTTTTTTTTAATTGAACTCAATTTTATGATCATCAATTTTTTTTATCATATAGTTAAAAAAATTGTTTCAGAAAAAAACTATATTATTAAACTGTATAAAGTCCGTAGACCTGCTCGTGTGTTTGGTGGGTTTAACTTTTCTCTATTTTTTTAGTTTTTTAGTTTTATTCTTTAATATTGAGTTGATTAAAAATTAAATTTTATAAATTACTTGTTTCACTTTCTATAAAGGTGATTGTAGTTTTTTTTAAAATATTTTGATATTGTGTTGGTATTTAATTTTACGATTATTTATTTTTGTTATTATATAGTTAAAACAAACAAGTTATTAGTTATAGTCGAGTCCATAGCCTAACTTACGAGTTTGATGTGTTCACCCAGTTACTCGAATCATAGGTTGTGACAAGGTTTACCTATTAAACCCAATATATTTTTTAATAGTTATTTATCTTTTAATTTTTTTAATTAATTTTTTTATTTTATCTTTTAATATTAGATTAATTGAAAAATAGACTTCATTATGTGTTTCTGTCTATTTTCTATAGGATTATCACAATATTAAATAAACATGTATTTTTAATTTGATAGTCAATTTTACAAACATATGTTTTTTTTATCATATAATTAAATAAAAAATTTATAAAAAAATAAAGTTAATAAATTCAATGAAATTTATGACCAAGTCTGCGAGGATGATTGAGGTCAATTTAATCTAGTTTCATCTTTATATATTTTTTTAAAATCTATAATCTTGAATTTTTTTAAAACAACTAAATTATGCTCTTATTGGTTATTTAACTTGTAAAATTAACTATTTTATTTCAAGTTAATTTTTATATAGTTTAATTAAAAATTTAAATTAAATAAGAAATTTTATCAGAAAATTTCAAAATTAATCTATCTAACAGAGATTAGTGATACTGCTAAATTTTTTTTTCGTGTTCTTAATAGTGTTTTTATATTTTAAAAAAATTGTTCCTGGGAAACGTATAAAAAAGCCTTACAGCTAAAATACATATAGGACAGGTGCGGGTGGGTCGTCGTCCCAAAACTAGGCACTCAGCACATACCCGAATAGGTAAGAAAATGGAAATAAAAGCCAGTCCGATTTTCCACAGAAATTAACGTATAAGATTAAGCCACGTGACACAATTTTAAACCGTTAGATGTGCTTACTTTGATCACCAACCCCAATAAGAAAATTTGTTCTCGTCTGACAAGTCACAATGGGAAGCAACAAATTTCCATGGTATAAAAATGGCCGATTGGTCAGGGGCAGGGCTTCCTAGGGGTGTTTATATCATTATTTTATTCATCACTTCGACACTTGAATAACACCAAGCAACACCCCCACCCCTTCGGGTTTCTGCAAGAGCTTAAATTAGCTTTGGTTTTTGCACTATAAACTCACACTTTTCTCTCTTCGACTCTTCAACTCTTCAAAGAGGTAAGTAAAGCACTTGCTAACTTCATGCATCTTCTTTGAATTTTACTATTTGCAGCTTTTAAAGTTGTTATTTTTGCTTTCGTTAATGCATTGTATGGTTTTAATTTGAAAGAATTTCCTTGCATGAGATATTGATCAATCTTGAGGTTTGGATCTGGGGTTTGCATTGCTTATTAAACAAGATTCGACTCGATAGGGAATCTTAAGGTTAACGAGGGGAGAGAGAATATTTGAAATATTTGTTTGTGTATTCTCTTTTTCAAGTGTCTTGCATCAATCTAAATAAAACTTGATTAACTGGTTATTGCTTTAAACTAAATTTTGCGTGTTTTGTTGTGATTTTGACGATGCATGGTAGATGGGAGACATTGGTTTTTAGTGAAACATGATTTTCAGGTCTGGTTGAGGTTGAAGATGACGTGGCGTGATTTACAGTTTAGCCTGTGATGTTTCGATAGTTATTCATTTTAGTCCTTTTTTTGCTGATTTGAATTGTTTTCAAGAGCATCCCTGCTTTGTGTAAATATGCCTTTTCAGATGGGCTCTTGGTAACAAATGTATGGATGAACTGCTTTGTGTATATAATCCCAACTTGGTTGTCAGTTGTCACAAATACATGTGGTGAGTTATGAAATGCATATCTGCTATGCTTCAAGATTAGGATTTTGTTGCCTTCAAACAATAAGGTTGCTTGGTTTTGTTAATCTGTTTTTTCTTTTCTTCTTCTTCTTTCTTTTTTTCTTTTTTTTTTTTATGTTCTACATGTATTTTACAAGTTTAGATCACCAGACACCGATGAACTACGTATTTATCTTTTGGATGAAGTAGAATAAACTTCTCTCTTTGTAAAACACACACACACACAAAAGATGGTTATATATACATGCAAAGTATTCTGTAGTTTGATAAAAATTCCAACCCATAATTCCTTCTAAATTTTTTGCTGTTTTGATCCAATATTTTCTGAATATAGATGAATAATAGAATATATAAGTCAGTTTTTGGCATGGTTTTATATTCATATTTATATCTCTTCATGTAAGAAAGAAACGAATGTGACAATTTTTAATGTTCTTAACCATGTTGATATGTGATTCTTTCATATTTAGATTGAATTACAAAGGCTTGGTCACCGTACCAATTTGGGCTAAAATTTAATATCTTGGTTGCAAGAACACATTTTTTTCCTTTCAGTTGATTGGTTTATTGTCTGACTTCTTCATATAATGAATAGGTGATGGCATATTGACTTTTGTTTAGAAAGAGAAAAAAGGTTCACAAACAAAGAATTCATATTAAATTAGATTACATCACTACCTCTTTTGAACACCTAACGTTGAAGTTGGCATACCGAATCGATTGCATGCACTGGGCTATAAGCATTTTTTGATCCTGTAAAATAGCACTTCTGAGTTTCTTCAGATATTAAAACCATAGCAACCCGAAGCAAATTGAGGTTGTGTCTTAGTTATTAGTTAAGCTTTATTTAGAGGTTAACTGCCTTGTATGACCTGTAGCTAAGCTAACTGACTCTTGTGTTTGTAGCTAAACCTTTAACTGTTCTTATGTAACAGATTGACAAGATGGCGGCAACATCAGCAGCTTCCTTTTCAGCTGGATCTACTGTCGCCTTTGGCACCAAAGCAAGCCAACTCCCACAATCAAAACCTTCAGCTTTAAGATTCAAGTCCCAGAAATCACTTGCAACCTTCAGTGGTCTCAAGGCAGCTACGTTTGTGAAGTGTGTGTCAGAGTCATCTTTCTTAGGCAAGGAGAGTAGTGCAGCCCTTCGAGGCTCTGTTGTACCAAAAGCTCAAAAATCAAGCCAAAAGTCACAGTATCACGTAAACCCACTGGCATCTTACAAAGTGGCAATTCTTGGAGCTGCTGGAGGGATAGGCCAGCCCCTAGCACTTCTAGTTAAGATGTCTCCATTGGTTTCAGCCCTGCACCTCTATGATATAGCAAATGTCAAGGGAGTTGCTGCTGACATCAGTCACTGTAATACCCCTGCGCAAGTTTTGGATTTCACTGGGGCTTCTGAGTTGCCCAATTCTCTGAAGGGTGTCGATGTTGTTGTCATTCCTGCTGGGGTTCCAAGGAAGCCTGGTATGACCCGGGATGACCTCTTCAACATCAATGCCAGCATAGTGAAGAACTTGGTTGAGGCTGTGGCTGATAACTGCCCTGATGCCTTCATCCACATTATCAGCAATCCAGTAAACTCTACAGTGCCAATTGCAGCTGAAATTTTGAAGAAGAAGGGTGTGTATGATCCAAAGAAGCTCTTTGGCGTTACTACACTTGATGTCGTGAGGGCAAATACATTTGTTGCACAGAAGAAAAACCTCAAGCTTATTGACGTGGATGTGCCAGTGGTGGGAGGGCATGCAGGGATAACTATTCTTCCCCTTCTATCAAAGACAAATCCCTCTGTTAGTTTCACTGATGAGGAAGTGCAGGAGCTAACTGTAAGGATCCAGAATGCAGGGACAGAAGTTGGGGAGGAAAGGGCGGGGGCAGGGTCTGCAACCCTGTCAATGGCATACGCCGCAGCCAGATTTGTCGAATCTTCTCTTCGTGCTTTGGATGGGGATGCTGATGTATATGAGTGCTCGTATGTGCAATCTGATCTTACTGAGCTTCCATTCTTTGCTTCTAGGGTAAAACTTGGAAGGAAGGGGGTTGAAGCTTTCATTTCATCTGACCTCCAAGGGCTGACTACGTTTGAACAGGAGGCACTGGAAGCTCTCAAGCCTGAACTGAAGGCCAGCATTGAGAAGGGTATTGCATCTGCTCAGAAGCAACCAGTTGGTGCCTAGAGCGAGGTTAGTTATAAATGAATTTACTAAACTGAGATGCAGGAGTATTGAGGTTGATAATTCTTGTTGCGACACATCACTATATCAGCACTTTCAAGTTTCGTAGATTTTTCATTTTCATTTCTTTTTTTAATATTATGAAGAACTCTTTCTAATGAGACATTTCATGATAGCGCTGTAGATTTGAAAATTGCAATTGCTGCAATTGAGAGCATGTGTCTTCCTTTTTTTTTTTATAAAAAATAAAACAAAACAACATGGATGATGTGCCCTGATATATGTATTTAATGAGATGTTTTGTCCTTCCATAGAAGTACATTGAATTGCAGGTGTCTTTGTTAGGAAGGCTGTATTACCAGAATCTCTGTATATTTGTTAGGATATTGTGTTACATAAACAAAAAAACCATGTTGATCTATGAATTCATGAGTGAAGAAGAGCCCAGCCAACCTTTGTAGGAAGCGAAACTGTGTTGTCGTTAATTTTGCTGTTTGTTCAAGTGGTTTTTTAAAATTTATGATTGAGAAATATTTTTCAGTTAAAATTTTTTTTAGCTTAATGGATTGAAAGAGAGAGAACCATAATCATTGAGACAGCAAGCACTTCCTCCTGATATCTTAATGTTTTGAGAAAGTATATTGAGCAGTCTGAAAGAGTAAATATTGATGAGTGCAGAGTCTTCATGGGAAGTGAAACATACATGAGAAAAATAGTTGCTTAATAATATAATAGCAGAGTTCATTATATCACCTTTGTTCTGTGCTAATTGCTTTGTGTTAATGGTAATATTTGCTGAATGCGGGTGAGGGCTCTTCAAGGATTCCAAGCCTGTTGATCTATTATTTTTCTTCTGTTGAATTAAATGTGTTGGTGGAAAATCTTACAGTGTTAGCGTCTCTCGAATTTTGTTCCTTTTGCTGCCTCTCAAATGTTTCATGGAGCTGCCAAAACCTGAGGTTGTAGGAGTATGAATCTCATCTTCAGCAATCACCACTCAATTTCTTTCTAGCTTCTAATCTGCTCTATGGAGAATAAATAAATAAGTAAAAAATCATATACATAGTTAAGATATCTACTAGTATGCTCTGCAATGTGCACAATTATTTGTAAGATCAATCAAGAAACTATTTTATTATTATTAAACTTGACCAAACAAGTTAACTTTATAATTTTTTGACCTAACTTATTGTTTAATCTTGATTTAAAATTAATCATATAAGAGTTGTTATGATGTGATTTGGTTGACATAAGGAGTTCAAATACAATCTGAATAATTGATAAAAAAACAAGGTTTTATTTAAAAAAAATTACCAATAACATCTTTGTTTTTTTAAATATTGACAAAAAGATATATTAGATTGATTTGAATTTTACAACTTAATACAACAAACTAATGACTGAGATGATGAATTTCATTGAATTTAACAATTTTATTTTTTTAATTTGTTTTTATACTTAATGAAATGATAATAAAAATAGATACTTATAAAATTAAATATCAATTACATGTCAAAATATTTGTTTAAAATTGTAATAATCTTACATAAACTAAATAATAACAAATTATAAAAATCAATTTAAAATTAACTAACTATTGATGGATGAAATTAATAATAATAAAAAAAAAAAGATGAAAAGGATTCAATTGAAAGGGAAAAAAAAATTAGAAGATTGAATTTTTTTCTAAAATATAACTATTTGGTATTATTGTTAAATTGGATCTAATAGATCAATCTTAAAATCTCTCGACTTGACTTTTTATCTAGCTTGTGTTTAAAATTAAATTGGCTCCATAAGACCTAATTGACCTAGAGAGTTTAAAGACAACTCGGATAACTAGTAAAAATATAGTTTAATATTGTGGCTTCTTCACCTATTTTTTATTTCATGATATAATAACAAAAATAAATATTTGTAAAAATTGAATATTTTTTAAACATTAAAATGTTTGTTTGAGACTGTAATAATTTTATAAATAAAAAATTAACACAAATTATAATGATCAGTTTAAAATTAATAAAATATAGAATAGTAAAAGGGGGGTTGCTAGGGTGAAGGTGCTTTAATATTTTTAATGTTTTATTTTCAGTTTTTATTTTTAAAATTCAAGTTTAAAAATAAAAATAGAAAATTTATTTGTTTTTGTTTTATTTTAAAAAATGTAAAAAACCAACAATCAATTATATCAACATTTTTTTTAAAAGGTGGTTTTTGAAATATATATTAGTGATTATTTATTTTTTTTCTAAAAGAAATCAGAATATACAAAATTTCAATTTTTCTTTTCAAAAAAATTGAAAATAGAAAAAAGAAAAAAGAAAAGAAGAAAACTAAAAATTGGTATCATCCCTAAAGAAGAGCGTGTTTGGTATTGTGGTAACTGTTGTGGTTGTGGTTTGAAAAAAATTATTTTATAAAAAGTATTTTTAGTTGAGATTGTTTTGAAAAAATAAGTGTTTTATTAAAACTGTGATTGAAATTGAAGTTGAACAAAAAATAATTTAATGTGTTTGATTAAGAATGCTTTTGAAATTGAGGTTATAAAATAATTTAAAAAATATATATTCATATTGATGGTTTTTAATTTAAATATTGTAGATTTAACTATTATTATTACATCATGAAATATATAAAATATTTTTTATTATTTCATTAAACTATCCACAATTCCAATACATATAAAATATATCTGACAAGGACTACAGTTTTCATAAATTTCTTAAAAACGCAACAATATCAAGTAAAATATAATTAAGAACAAAATTGAGATTGCGATTAAATTCTATAAATGCGGCGTTATCAAGCGATCTTCGTCTAATTTATGTAGTCATTGAATAATGTTTAACACTAGTTTTTTGAATAAAACACAATTAAAAATAAAAAATTATTTTTTTATTTTGTTGGGTCGGACCTAGTACAATGCATTTTTAATTTTGATAAACCTAGCCAACCTGAGTTTTATATTTAACTGGATGAAAATTAATTTAATTAAAATTAATCAATTAAACAGGTTAATTTAAACAGGTTAATTTATTATGAATCAATCAAAATAAGAATAAAACTTAATTTAATTCTAAAAAAAATTAAATCAAAAAATTATATTTTAAATTAATTTGAGTTAATTCATCAAACTTTAATGTTGGGTTATAACTATAATAACAAGTTATGTAACTTTTGCATTAATTTTTTTTAATAAAAAATCATGTTTATATTAAATATTAGTGTTTATGTTAAATATGACACAGATGATAAAGGTTTGTTATTAATTTATGATGTAGAATTATTTCTATTTTTTGGATATAATTATTTTATAAAATAATGATATAAGTAATAAATACAAATAAATCTTGCTCATAATAATTAAAAAAATACCAAGTATTTCGGATTTCCATGTGTTGGTTCAAGTCCTCAACAACAAAAACATTATATTGCATTAATTTTTAAACATGAACCATGAAGCATGCTCCACTGTTCATTCATTTTCTCATCACAAGAAGTAGCTTTTTGCTGCCTTTTGTAATCAACGGCTATGCCGGAGTTAATGGTGGGATCCATCATTGAAAAACTGTGATAAAAGTATAACCAAATGATAAAAATTATGACTGCAAGTGAACCTCACCCGTAACCATAATACTAAATTCACTCATAGCTATAATACCAAACAGCCATAAAATCTCAAACAGATTTTATCCTTATTATTTATTGCTCAAATCCTATCATTGTCTTTTAGTTATGATAAATCTTAACATAAAAAAGAGAGCTGAAATGTGATATGGATGTCGTAAAAATTGTGACAGAGATACCAGTGAAGCATGAAATAAAAAAATAGAAGATATAAATAAAAAAATATATAGATGAAAGTGTAATAGTAATTATTTTTAAAATAATTTTTATTTAAAAATATATTAAAATAATATTTTTTATTTTTAAAAAATTATTTTTAATATTAGTATATCTAAACAATTTAAAACTATAAATAAAATTAATTTTAAATAAAATTTTAATTTTTTAAAAAACATAGTTTTCACCGTCCTTCCTAACAAAATGAATTATTTTTATTTGAAGTTGAATGGTCATTACAAGATAATATTTATGTTAGACCACATATCCTTAACAAATTCATTATATATATATATATATATATATATATATATATAACTTTAAGAGGACGATTTGTACAATGAGTGAGATATTTTGAAAACTGATTTTTTTATTGAAATAATGTTTGATAAAAGCAGCATTACTTTGAAAAAGTCTTACATTTTCTCTTCTACTTACAAGTAAGGCCATTTTTATATTTTATCATCATGATTGTTGTTATTGAAGCTTTAAATTATTATAAGTTATTCAATTTTAATTATGATATGAAACTTGTCATTACAGTTGGTGAGTGTTTGGAAATGGGTTGGCCTGTGTTTTTAAAAATTTTAACTTTTTTTGTTAAAAAATAATTTTTTATATATATTTTCAATCGTTTTGATATGCTGATCTTGAAAATAATTTTTTAAAAATAAAAAAAATATCATTTTATAAATAAACATTTTAAAAAGTAATCATAATCACCATTTTAATTTCTAACAAACACCTTTACCAAAATTAAAGTATATCCTAATTGTATAAAACATAGAATCATGTTTCCATATACTCAAAATATGATTCAATGGATATTTATTTCATTTTTTAGTTTTCACTAGCACATTTTGTCATGAAACAATGGTGTAGAAGGAAATGAAAGGAGTGTAACTCAACTGATTAGGCTCTGAGTTTGTTTTTTAGAGGCTTATATGATTGTTAATTTCATAGCTTGTAGAATTAGTTGAGGTGCGTGCAAAATGATTCAGACACCAATATAAAAAAACAAAAAAACTCATGACATAGGAATGTCACTAGCTTACACTGTTCATGCAATTCACCAATGATTCCTCAACCATTTCTCTATATGGTATCTTCCCAGCAACACAATATATTGGGGCCAAACCTTTACTAGTTGGGCTAATATTTTGTTTGACTTGGAAGATCTTAAAAAAAATCATTGCAAATCAATCATCCCAAACCACTCTAGACCATTGTGTAAACTATAACCGCTAGCATAATTGTCGCACCTGACATCGTGACGACCTTAAAAATTAAAATCTTTAAAAGAACAGATTTCTAACATCCAGTTCTTTAATGGGGGAAGTGTCTTGTTCAAGGAGTCGCTACCTAGTATTATGG